AGAGCATTGTCATAAGAAAATATACAAAATTTGTAAGAAACATGATTTGTATTTTAAAATGGAATTAAATTTTATTAATCAAACCAAACACCATCTGGCTCTACTTGTGGGTAAACCCTAGGTCAGGGGTGGGCAACCCCGGCATGTGTGCCAAACATGGCATGCCAGTAACTTTTGCTGGAATGTGAAACCCTCTCTTATAATCTTCCATTTACAATTTTTTCTTAATATTGACTTTTTTATTTTTCAGATAATTTCAGTGTAGGTGCATCTTAGATAAACAAATAATTTTACATAACAAGTTATCTTAAAGATCATAGACATGGATTGGCAAGAGAGGGGAAGAGCAATTTCTATGCCTCTGCCTTAACTCTCCCTGCCTTCCTAGATCCAACCAGTGTTTTGGTTTCATCCACATACACTTGTGAATCTTTGTTCTCAGTGATGAATTTTGTTAAGTCTCATAATAAGAGTAGCCTGTGCATATCTCTGAAGGTCACGAAAATACACTCACAAAAAGGTTGCCCACTCATGCCCTCGGTACTTTAAAAAATATACACATTTTATTTTAGAGCAATTTTAGATTCACAGCAAAATTGATAGGAAGATATAGAGATTTCTTTTATAACACTGCTCCCGCATATGTGTCCCCCATTATCAACATCAACCACCAAAATGTTATGTTACAATTGATGAACCTACACCCATCATTAACACTCAAAGTCCATAGTTTACATTAAGGTTTATTCTTGCATATACACTTTATAGGTTTGGACAAATGTATGGCACATATCCATAATTGTAGTATCAGACAGAATGTTTTCAATGCCTTAAAATTCCTGTATTCCCCACCTATTTATCCTTTCCCTGTCCCAACCCCTGATTTTTTTTTTTTTGTCACCATAGTTTTCCTTTCCCACAATGGCATATAGTTGAACTTATACAGTATGTAACCTCTTCAAATTGGTTTCTTTCACTTAGTAATACAAATTTAAAGTTTCTCCATGACTTTTCATGGTTTGATAGCTCATTTCTTTTTATTTTCTGTACGTAATACAGTTTATTTACCCATTCACCTATGGTGGGATGTCATGGTTACTTCCAAGTTTTGGCAATTACGAATAAGCTGCTATAAGCACCTGTGTGCAGGTTTTTTGGTAGATAACATGTTTTCAACACATTTGGATAAATACCAAGAAGTGCTATTGCTTAACTATATGGTAAAAATATATTTAATTTAGTAAGAAACTGCCAAACTATCTTCCAAAATGTTTGTATACCTACTAGCAATGGATAACAGTTCCTATTGCTCCACATCCTCTCAAGCATTTGGGATTTTCAGTGTTTGGTTCTGGGTTGTTCTAATAGGTGTGTGGCGATATGTCATTATTATTTTAGACTAGAGGCCCAGCGCACAAAATCATGCACGGTTAGGGTCCCTAGGCCTCCATAGCATGGCCTCTGCCACCCGGCTACACTAAGTGAAGCTCCCCACCCCAGGATGTTCTGTGAACCCCGTGACTGCTCAGCAAGGCTCCCCCCAGCCCTTGACTGCTCAGAGAAGCTTGCTGCCACCCTGCGAAGCTGGCTGCTGGATGCTCCGCGAAACTCCCCCCTCCTCCGACCCCACAACTGCTCCATGAAACTCCCCTGCCCCACGACTGCTTCACGAAACTCGCTGCGGCCGGGGTAACTGCTCCGCTAAACTCATGACCACCTGCAAAGCAGCCCACCACTGCTGCTCAACAGTCCCCAGTCCCACCCCCACACCAGGTCCCCATCATGGTGAGCGGCTCGGGGACTGGGGGAGAGGAGGGACCAAGAGGTGCTCCATGCCCTTCATGGTGACTGGTCGCCCATTCGGTCGTGATGGTACTTAGCTCTTTATATATATTAGGATTGTATTTCCCTGGTGACGTATGCTTATTTACTATCTGTCCATCTTCTTTAGTGAGGTGTCTCTAAAGGTCATTGACCACATTTTAATCAGTTGTTTTTTTCTTATTGATGAGTTTTAGGAGTTCTTTGTATATTTTGGTTAACAGTTCTTTAGCAGATATGTCTTCGCAAATATTTTCTACCAGTCGGTGACTTCCCTTTTCATTCTTGCCAGTGTCCTTTGCAAAGCAGAATATTTTGGTTGTAAAAAAGTTCAGCTTATTAATCTTTCTTTCATGGGTCATGACTTTGGTGTGATATCTTAAAAGTCATTGCTAAACTCAAGGTTGTCTAGGTTTTCTCTTATGTTATCTTCTAGGAGATTCATAATTTTGCATTTTACATTCAGATCTATTATACATTTTGAATTAAATTTTGTGAAGGTTGTAAGGTCTGTGTCTACATGCTTTTTTTCTCTTCTTCTGGCACCTGGATATCTAGAGTTGTCCCACACCATTTGTTGAAAAGATTATCTGTTCCTCATTGTATTGCCTTTGCTCCTTTGTCAAAGATCAGATGGCTATATTTATTGGGGTCTATTTATGGGCTCTCTATTCGGCTCCATTGATCTATTTGTCTATTCTTTTGCCAATACCAGAGTGTCTTGATTACTGTAGTTTTATAGTAAGTCTTGAAGTCAGATAGTGCCAGAACTCCAACTTTGTTCTTATCTTTTAATATTGTGTTAGCTATTTTGGGTAGTCCTAGGTACTTAAATATTAAAGTGTGGGCAGGGAATTTAGTATTTAGCACTAAAAACACGTGCATGATAAATCAGGAATAAACTATCTCATTTTTTTGAAATCTGCCCTTACATTGCAATATGTGGATCGAAGAGAAAGGATATAACAAGCTTTTCTATTTTGAATACATGGAATTATGCTAAATTATGTGTGTCCCTGGGAGATGGTAATAGGGGAATGATAACAATAATAAAGGTAGGTAGGTAGGTAGGTAGGTGTGTGTGTGTGTGTGTGTGTGTGTGTGTGTGTGTGTGTGTGTCAGTGTGTTAAGTCATGTGGCATTAAACTATCTGTGCATTTATTGCATTTATTGGATATCCATACATTGCATTGGCTATACTGTAACCAACTTCACAAAGAAAGATTTAAGGGGTTAGTTGGAGTAAATGAGAACCAGTAGACTCACTTCTAGAATATCACATCAGCAGGTTTTTCTGTACAGCATTCTAGCTCATGGTGCCCAAGTCAACCTGAATTAATAGTTTGAAAAGGTGTCTGCTCACTTTCTGAAGGTCTGTCCTTGCCCTGGATTTTATTTTAAAGTGTTTATATTTTAGGCATTGTGATTTGCATCACCTACTTTTAGAAAACACATGAAGATAATTCTCTTTTTATTAGTCTTTGTGGGACATAAAATACAGTAAAGGATATGGGCATTATCTGCTCTTTAATGTAGGACTCATGCTGAAAGCCAGTATAAGTTGAAAGTGACAAAAGGGTTTTTATCTCTTGGTCTCTTATCTCATACCAGATAAGAGCAATCTTTAGTTATTCAGGTGTCCAGCAGTTTCTTGCAGTGTACCCACAAAAGAAAGAAATTTGAGATAAATAATGTTCTCTTGCTATAAGCCTAAAAGGATAAAGTAATAATGTTATTTTTCCAGTTACCAAAATACTAAAAGAAAACAAATGAGATTATCAGAAATAAGAGGACAATCAGTAAAATTATATTTACTAATAGGTTCAAACATTTTAAATATTAATTGTGTTCATTCTTTTTACTTCAAGGTGATCTGCCACATATATGAAAGCCAGGTTCTTGTAACCATAGAAATCATTCCATGTAACATGCTAACAGATGTTGGTGTCTTGTGAAAGTCTGTTGCTCTATTTGCTCTTTGACTAGTTTGAGGCTGTTTTCCACATAAACACTTAAGGTTGTGGACTTTAAAGTACTATGTAAGGTATTTTCATTACAGTTCAGTTCTATTAACAGAAAAAAAACTTTCTGAAATATAGTTATATAACCTATGTTAACGTAAAAAAAAACATTGAAACCTGTAAAGAATTTTTGTGAGTTTATTTGGGCCAAACTGTCAACATATGCCAGGAAGCAGAACCTCAATGAATTGAGATAATGCTCCGGAGAATGGCAGGTTACATCTGTATTTATACATTGCAATCAAAGGAGGGACGAAGGTGGGTTACATGAAATCCATTAGTGATAGTCTGAAAGGTGGGAGAAAGCAAAGCAGGGAAATCCCTGGGATTGGATAAAAGGTAAAATGATACACACATACTTACGTGGGTGCAGAAACAATTAACATAACAATGAAGGAATTTGTGGTATCTGTCCTGGAGCCCAGGATATTAGGTTGTGCCCCAAATGGTCCAGAAAAGGGGAAGTTACAAGTTACCCAGACATTTCAAGGGTATGTTATTATAGATACAAAAAGACAGATAGACTCAGTTAAGGTGAAAGTTGACCTTGTCAGTGAAGATACCTGCCTAGGATGTACTGGTAACTGCCCACCATAACTGCTTTTAGTTAGTTTAATTTCAGACCATCCTTTGTGGTTACTCTAGGTCTCTGAGTTTGCAAGACTGCCATGCAGGCCTTCCCTGAGCTTGTCAGGCTAGCACGTAGGCCCTTTCATCCACACCTACCATATTGTTCGCTTTTCACTTTGTTTACCAAAGAGCTTAAATACAAAAATGAAGCTCAGTTTTACATAATATATAATAGCTTATATATTAGAACTAATGGCCTGGTGCATGAAATTTGTGCACATTAAAAGGGGATTAATTAGAGGAAATATTTTAATGTTGCTATTTGCCCTTTCTCTATAATAGAAGTGTCAGAGATAAAAAAAAAAAAATAGTGAAATGTATATGAAAATCTTCCTCCTGTCAGTCTGGGATGTGCCGTGGGACCCAGAATCAAGTCCTCGCCCACCCACAGCACCTCAAAATTGTGCAAGACCCCGGACCTAGCCGGTCCCACCCTCATTGGGCGAGATCCAGACCCAGCTGGCCTCACCCTGTCAAGCCTCGCCAGGCAGGGTGTGCAGCCTCAGGTACCCTGTCAAGCCCCACAAGGTGGGGGGCACAGCATCAGGTCCCCTGTCATGCGCTGATGGGTGGGGGGCATCGCCTTAGGTTCCCTGGCCCAGTGCTGTGGCTGGGGGCGTGGCCTGAGGTCCCCTGGCTCCGGGGTGTGGGGCACTCCCTGAGGTCCTCCAGTCTGGGGCAGGGGGAGAAGCCTGAGGTCCCCCAGCTGAGCACCTGAGCGGGGGCACACTTAGAAGTTCCCCGTGAAGCCCTGCTGGGTGGGGAGCATGGCCTCAGGTCCCCTGTCAAAATCTGCTGGGCAGGGAGCATGGCCTGAGGTCCCCTGTCAAGCCCCACTGAGCGGGAGTGCAGGGCGCAGCCTCAGGTCCCCTGCTGATTGCTCCTTAAAGCTCATTACAGAAACTCCGCCTCCTCTGTGGGCACCACCATCTTTGTGACAGCCTGATGATCAATTTGCATATTCCCTCTTTATTAGATAGGATTCTTTTTAAGTCTTGACTTTCTCTTCTAATAGTTTTTTTTGTTTTGTTTTTGATTCTTTAATTTTATTTCTTTGTATGTGTTAGCTGTCCCACATTTGCGTGCTAGCAAAAGTTGTATATAAGTAGCCCCTCTCTCTTAAAAAGTGGTATATAAGTATATGAATGAATGTTGCATACACAAACTTTCTAACTTCTTTAGACAATCTTCAAAGGTTTGCTGCTCTTACTCAGGCAATAAATCCATCAAACAAAATTAAACTCATTGGAGACAGACTAATAATCGGTCAGAATTCAGAATAAAAATTGTTAGGGGACTATGCCAAGTCAAAACTGAAGTTATCAACACTTCAAATCAGTTCACAGAGAAGTTATAACTTGATATTACCAATTATTTAACCTTTTTTTTAGAATTATATTTTCTAGTAATCTAGTATATGATAAGGCACATAAGAATGATTTTTCATAGATTGTCACGTAGAAAGTCACAACCCCTTGTGTATCCTTTGAAGTTTTGACAATAAAAGAATAACTTTATAAATGCCTTTACACTTTGGATTTTAAAATAATCAATATGAACATGCACAACAATTATTTTAACATCCAAAACATGTATTTTTAATAGTGTCCAAAAATTAGTGATTCTACTTTCCTATATAAAGCACCATTTTTCTTAAAGATATTTGAAAAAGTCCTTTATTTGAACATTGTGTCCAGTTTAAATCATGCATTTCAAGAAATAAAAGTCTAGAGAACATTTAACATGGTTGGAAGGGTGGGAAAATTATTTTTAGGCTAATACTATAAAGGAGTTGTTATTATTTATTCTGGAAAGATAAATCAAATTGGCTTAATTAATAATCCTCTTTGAATACAAAACTGCTATTTATAAAATGACATTCTCTTGCTTACCAGTTCTTCATTTCCCCAGATGTGGACTAAAGAAAAAATGAGCTGTATTTGTTGTTAAGGAAGAATTCACACCAGGAAAAATGTCTTCCAGTCAGATAGATCAAATGCTGACATAGATCAAATGGTTACCAACAGTCGCTAAGTTGTGTGAATTTTTAATCTCTAGGGAATCACTAAATTTTTATAAATACTCCCATCATTTGAATGATTCAGACAGTTGGATTAGTGCTGAATCTCTATAAGAGATGAAAGTTGTGGTAATTTTGTAATTTATGGTTCAGTGATTTTATTGAAGCAGATATAGCATATTCAAAAAGATATACTTTCTTCTCCTTAAAATTCAGCATGGAGACAGATAATTTTTTTAAAGTTTATTTATTATAAACAGTCATCTAACACCTTTTAAAAAAAAAACTGTATTTACCTCTAATGAGCTCCTATTCCATGCTGCATACACATCTATTGAAGTATTCCTATGTTGCATTTGGGTTATATATTCCTTACTTTTACTAGATAGTAATTTTTTGATAGCTGATACCATGATGAAAATTATTTGTATTCCCAGAATTTAGCACAATGCTGCATATGATGCCTGCAATTAAAATGTGGTAGATGAATGGAGAAAAGGAAGAAAGCAAGTAGGAATGAAGAAATTCACTTTCTGGTTTATGTCTTAGGAAGCTAATCCTGTAATTTTGACATGTAGCCATAGGGTGGCAGAAGTGTGCCACCACCAGGAATTGCATTCATTCATGCTCATTCACACAATCGTCATTGAACTTCAGTTCTGTTTAGGTGTCAGGATGCTATGTAGTACAGAAAGGAAATCAGTCATGGTAATTCAATGCCCTTGTCAGTGGTTTTAGTTAGGAGTATGCATGTAATATGATGCAAAATGAAAGTCTGTTACTAGTTTCCTGGAAGAGTTTTTCTTGCCTTAAAAAGGAAAGGATTTGTGTTTTTCTGCTGTTGCAAGTTTCTCTGTGAGGATATGATGGTTGGAGCTCCTTTAGCCATACTATCTAATAAAAGATAAACATGGTAATTGGCGTACAACCGCTACCCTTCCCATTGGCTAATCAGGGCGATAAGCAAATTAACTGCCAGCCAAGATGGCGGCCGGCAGCCAGGCAGCTTGAAACTAACATGAGGCTTGCTTGCTTCACTGACGGAGGACTCCAACGTTCCCCGCCTGCCGCTGCAGGCCTCTGAGCTGACAGTTTGAAACACAGTTACAAAAATAGAAGCTAAACAAAACCCAAGAAACCAGCTTTCAGCTAGCCAGGATCCCAGACCTGGAGTTGATACAGAGTTTCAAGTGTAGAACCTAAACAAGCCAGATACTTGCTTTCAGGAGCGGAGGCCTAAGAGCTGGAGCCTCAGAGCTAAAGCTGGCTCAGAATAAAAAAAGAAAAAAGAAAAAAAGGAGCAGTTGGGAGCTTCAGTCCCAGCCTGAAAACAGCCCTCAGCCCCTCACCCAGACTGGCCAGGCACCCCAGTGGGGACCCCCACCCTGAAGGG